CATTCATTCATTCATTCATTCATTCATTTATTTATTTATTTTCAGGCTTGTATGCCGCCCATCTCCCCCAATGGGTGACTCTGGGCGGCTCACAATAATAAAAAAGAAGAAAAACCACAGGTCTCTCCAAACATGGATACAATCTATAAATAATTTAAAAACATATATTAAAAATGCCCTAAAAACCTCCTATAATTTTAGCCCTAAAAAACCTGTAAGATGCTGGGGCGGGGGGACAACCCATCACCCCACCAGCCATCTCCACAGCTGCGGGCCCCCCTCTGGCCCCCAGGATTTGATCCCTTTCCTGAAGGCCATGAGGGAGGGGGCACACCGGCAATTATGGCAAGCAAGTCCATTTGTTTTGTTCAGGAGCAGCAAGGGTGGGCATAGGGTGGTTTCAGCTCATTTCTTCCCGATTCTTGAGCCCCGGCTTATCTTCCGTCATTTGCCCCCCCCCCCCACAGGTATGTTCAGAGGCGGCTTAGATGTCCTGGTGAGGGCCCGGCTTGCTCTTGCCGACGGCGTGACCATGCAGGTGACCGTCCGGAGCATCGTAGAAACCCCCGTAGATGTCATCTTGGCTTCTGTTGGCTAACGGCCATAACCCCTCAGTCCTTTCTCCTCTTCCCTTCTGCAAGGCACACCAGGGACCTGCGGTGCTGCATTTGTTGTTTGGTGATTCCCTTTTACTGTTGTCCGTGTTTGAAAGAAATGGGGCGTGCCTGGCCTCTGCCTTTCCCTGGGGGCAAGACAACAGCAATTCCCAAAATGGTTACCTCTTCATTCTTGTATAAATTATTACCTCCGTGCTGTGAGTAAGATTAGAGATTGGGTTTTTTTGTTTTTTTTTTAAGAGCAGTTTCTTGGATTTTTATTAGCCACAAATAAATGGGCTATTTCAGCATTCCCAGATGTTTTCCCTGGTCTGAATAATAAAGCACATTCTGTATTACTGCCTGACCAGCTTTATGCCACCCCCTCCTCTGCTGCCTGATGGGTTGGTTGTAGCAGCCTCAAGACGCAGGTAGAACCGTGGCGGCCTCTCCGCTCGTGGAACTGGCATTGCGAGGGGGAGTTGGGGGAAAGGCTTTCCAAAGCAGATGGGGCTGAACACAGATGGCAAACACCCAATCCATTATTGCTCCCGGACTGAAGGTCTGCTAAGGATGGGGAAAGGAACTGTTTCTCTCTTCCCTGGATGGTCACATCCAATTCGTTCCCCAAGCCGGCTCTAAATTACTCCGTCTTTTGTTGGCATCCAGGTACAGGGCCATAGCCCGGGACAAGTTTGGGGAAACAGTGGGAGCGCTGTAGATTAAGAGCACTCACATGGCTTCCCCCACGTTTCCCTGTCTTGGCATGGCATTACAGGTGGATAGAAGAAAAACGCCCCCAGTTGAAATTCAGGGGAAAAAGACTGGCCCTGAAAAGCTGATCCTTTGCCCGCTGGTAGATGCGCATGTGAGAAGTAGAAACATGGCCCAGAAGAGGTGCCAGCCTTAGCTCTGTTTGTCCCTTCCTACCCAGTGGCTTTCTATGGGACAGCTTCATGGACAGGAGAGGAGGACAACTGTTGAGGCCGGGGCCAGGCCTGCTGATCCCATCTGCCCGAAGACGCTCAAAGGGCGCCTGACCCCTTGTACTTTCCTTCAGCCTGGTGCCTTTCCATTGTGTGGGACTGCAGCTGCCAGAATTTCTCCCTGGGGTTGCGATGCCAGCAGAGCTGAAAGGCACCAAGTTGAGGAAGATGCAGCTGCAGGCCGACTTCAGGCCCTGCTTTAAGGTAATGATGCTCAGAGGCACCTGTGGAAGGTGGCAAGTGATGAAACCTGCACTGTGACATCATTGGGATTAGGAACAGATGGCCATGATCATGCGATTTCCAATAAAAGGTTTCAGGCAAACTGAATTAAGAACTAATGGAAAACCCAGGAAGTTCTCTATGCTGAAACACCCTACTGCAGCCTCTGTTGTCAGCCTCCTGGTTCTCAGAAACCTCAAGATTAGCCTTTAATGTCACCTCTTAGCTAATACATTAGAGAGAGGCTTCAGCCCCCTGCATGGACTCCTCCTCTGCTAAATAATCCTGTGGGTGGGTTCACACAACACGCCAAATCCAGGTCTGATACAAATCTAGTGGCTATATTCACAGAACATAAATGCGTGTTCTGCGTTCCTAGATTTTTGTAGCTCTGTGTGCTTTGATCTTGGCTAAATTTTCAAAACATGCTCAACCTGGCTATTCAGCCTCTTTTCTGGGGGGTCCTGACCTAGCTACTAGAGAGAGAGAGAGAGAGATGCATGCGAAACACACAGCTGTGTTTGAGAAAAGCACAGCGTTGGCCCTTTCTCATCTCCAGAAAGTCAACCCTTACCTTTTGCAGGAGAATCTTCTAGCCTGGCCTTGGTTAAAGGAACGACAAAAGCGTAAGATGCAGACCAGGATCAGGCAATTCTCACTGGCTGTGTTCACGTAATGCAAATGCTCGTTTCACACGCACACATTCATACGGCTCAACTGTATTCTTGCAACAGAAGGCACAAAATGGGCAGCTTTGGGGGGTTTTCAAGTCCAGCCAGCTGCCGTCCCACACCACCATTTCGCCCTTGGAGGAGAGGAAATTAAAAATCTCTGCTTAAGGCAGCTGGGGTCAGCACCCACACAGGCAGATTTGAAGGGGCTTTATCCATCCCCTAGTCCCCCCCTCCACTTTTTACCCCTCCCCCTGCAGGAGCAGGTGGTGACAATACAAAGGAGGCAGCCACCTGAGTTCCTAGACAGGCCCCGTTTCCTACTCCTGAGATGGAAGTTCTAAATTGTCCAGTCCAGACAAACGCAAGGTGAAATCTGATCGGAAAAGTCTGCATACTTCTGCGAGAAAGCCGCAATAAATCTGTTCTGCTCTGCTTGTCTCCCCCAAAAAATGGGTTGAATTCCAGCTGGACGATGCTCTCTTCCCTCCCCCCACCCCCAGGTATGGGGTGCAGGAAAGGGCAACCAAACTGCTGGGCCAAAAGCAGCCTCCCCCCACCAGGAGGAAAGACTAGACGGTTTGGGGTGTTTTAGCTTAGAACAAAAGCAGGAATATAATTGGGGTGTTTAAAAATACAGGGCATGGAAAAATCCCCCCCCCCTCACTCTTAGGATCTAAGGTCATAAATAGAAAGTCAGTGCCAGGAGACGTGGGAGTGATAAAAAGAATGTCTTTATAGAATGCAGAGTTGCACTCTGAAGTTTACAAACAATTTAAATGGACTGAAAAGGAAATTAGACAGAGAATTAGACAAGTTACAGAGGAGGCACAAGACCTCCCTGGAAGATCAGCGGCTGAGAAGGGGCAGGGGAGGAAGGCGATTGCCTCCCATCCCTCGTGAGCTCCAGGATGCCTCTGTTGGACCACCATGAGACGCAAAACGCCACACTTGGTGGCCCTTTGATCTGATCCAGCCTTGGGACTCTTATGTGAGAAGCAAGACCAGCGTTCAGAAGAGCAAGAGGAGAATCGTCCACGAGATGTGGTGGTGGCCACTAGTTTAGGTAGTTGAAAAGGGGACTAGACCGATTGCTGGAGGCAGGCCTATTAATGGCTACTAGCTTTGATGATGGGGGCTGCCTCCAGGTGTTGAGTCTGTCCACTTCTACAAGCTAGGGGCACAGGAGCAACTACGGGAGAGGCGGCCTGCCTTGATTTCCTATTCGTGGGTCTCCAGGTGCGTCTGCAGGGCTCCACGTGAGACAGAACGCTGTCCAGATGAATCTCAGCCTGATCCAGCAGGAGTATTCTCATTTCTCGCTTGCTTATTCACTTTGTCTCCCTCTCACCGCATCCTCCAGAGGCAGGACTGGGGGAGCTCCCTGCAAGCTGCTTTAGGCCCCTCCACTGCCACCCGTCCATTTGTTTGATTCCCTAAGCTTACTCGCCACGACGGAGATTGCTGCGAGGTTTGGTTCTTTGCCATCCAGTTTTTGTCAGCAGTTCCCACGCCCAGCCTACTGCTCCAGAGTACGAAAACGAAAGGATGCTCTTCCACCCGTCTTGCTTGTGGCTCAGAAGGAGTTGATGAAGTTTAAGTAGGCATTCAAAAACCCCTGTGGGTCCTCCAGCTGCGGGTAGTGGCTGATGTGATCGTCCAGTACCGTCACTGTTGACATTGGAACCGCCTGCCTGTTGAAAAACAGCAGCGGTTCAGGGGTACTCCCTCCAAGAGCCATGGGGACAAGGGGAACTAGCACCATGTCAAGACCGTCACCAGGAAGAGCTTCGATCTGGAGGCCTTCAGATGCTACTTGTTTTAGCAAGGACGGACATGGCCATTCCTGGATAACACAGAACAAGCTTAAGGATTAGTTCTTGTTTATTGTTTGGTGGACTCATTTACTGAAGCAATTACACATGGTAGAGTCCTTTCTGGATTTGGGGACTGATGCTCAAAATATTGCCTGTGGGAAACTTCCTTGTGAAGACAAGGAGAGCAAAGTTCTTCCTTGCTTTTAGCTCTATCTTTTAGCTTGCAGCCCAAGTCATGTGCCAGCATTTGCCAGTACTATAATGCCCTTATATAAATCAATGGGGTGCCTGCAGCTGGAATATGGTGTGCAGTTCTGGTCGTCACACCTCAAAAACTTAGGAGGACAACTAAGAAGTTCAAGGGGTTGGAGCAGCTTCCTTATGAGGAAAGGTGGTGACATTTGGGACTTTTTAGACTAGAAAGGAGGTGAATGAGAGAGGACATGAAGAGGTATGCAGTATTATGAATGGTGTGACTCAAGTGGACAAGAAGCTGCTGCTTTCCCCTTCCCAAAATACTGAACCAAAGGTCGCCCAATGAAATTGAAACCTGGAAGAATCAGGACAGACAAAAGGAAATGTGTAATTCAACTTTGGCATTCACTACCACAAGATGTGATGTCCACCAGCTTGGCTGGCTTCAAGAAAGGGCTGGACCAATTCATGGAAGTCCTGGGGATCAAGGGCTCTTAGCCTTGATGGCGGTGGAACTGCTTCTGGAGGCCATCTGCTGGGAGACTAGCAGGCTTCCTTGGGCAGTTGGTTGGCCACCAGGAGAACAAACTGCTGGATTAGATGGGCCAGGCCATGGCTTATGTTGAGTGGGCAGCTACAGAAATCAAATAATGAAACCAGTAACATTTTCAGATGGGCAAGCAGATTGCCAGCAGTCTCCATAAGGATGGCATTACAAGCTGCTTCTCTACCCCAGAATTGGCGGTCAGCAGACACATTTGCTCAGACCCAATGCGTCTTCAAGTCTGAAAGCTCTGCTCCAAGTAACACCTGCCAAAGACGTTGGAGGCTCGTTTCACTGTTTGTCCACCAGGGCTGGGTAGAGATGGAGACTCAAAGGGCAACCAGGAACTCAGAGCAGACACACCACATTTGCCAAGAACGTCTTAAAACAGCCGCATCTCTTCCTGGGCTTGCGCAGAAGCCACAGTGCGAGCTCAGGGAAAGAAGTGCCTCATTTGTGTTCCCTACAAGTACCGTGTGGGATAGCACAAAGCACCCACAACTTTGACCCTCCACCCAGCCCTACTTTCCATCAATTGAGTCTCGAATCCTCTAATGGCTGCGTACAGCCACACGGGCCCGATCTCAACGAACGAGGCTGCTCCAAGTCATTTCTGACTGATGGAACTTCCGCTGGAGCACTTTAAAAAATTCAAGAAATCCCAGGAAGACGCAAATCCGAAGACGTTTGGTAGCACCTTTTCTAATGAATTCATTTTATTAAAAGGCATCAGCTTTTGTGAGCTGCAAATTGCTTCATCATACGCAATGGAGTGACTAGACCAGTGTTTCTCAACCTTGGCAACTTTCAGATGGGTGGACTTCAACTCCCAGAATTCCCCCCCCCCCCCCGGCCGCGGGGGGGGTTTCGGGGGGTGAAGGCACCCCCACTTATATTTTCCCGGGTGGGGAACAATCGGTGAGCGAAAACAA